TTTTGATAGCCGGGCACCATCAGCTTGCTTTGCCACATTTGCTTATGCACCCATTCTTTACAGGAGTAGAAAACCTCGTCTTTCTCCCAAGGAGCAGCTGGTGGTTTCAAACTGCTATCCTTACAGATGGCAGTCCAACTTGTAACCACTACACCACCTGGGCTCCTTCTAAATACCAGTAAACTGGTATAAATTTACTAGGTAAATTTCTTCAGAGTGCAGTACAGTATTTCTAATTTTTAATGCCTCAATATTTTTTGTTATTGTTTCCATAGATTGAGGATTTGATTCTTTTAACTTTATTTATTTGTTTGTTTGTTTGTTTGTTTATTTATTTGTCAGATTTTACTGAATTAGCTTCCAACACCATACATTTCCTTTTCTGGATATAAATTTTAATAAATCCCAATCCCCAGGTCTAATTTTGCAGATATAAATTTGGTCAAAGATTTTATTTTATTTTAGCCACTAATAAATCTTATCATTAACATGGCCTTTCTTTATTGTAATTTGTTAGTTCCTATGACACTGAACATTTTCTCCCTTGGGATATTTATTATCTGTAACTTCTAATTCAGCTATTTCATGTACGTTTAGTCACTTTATGTACATTATTGAAAGCTTCACTGCTATGTGTGCTAGGCTTCCTCTGGGGAAAGTGTCCTGTACGTGCGTGGTGTGGGTTTGTGCTCTGTCTGCCCTCCTGATCAGATTTCAGTGTCTCAGGATACCGGCCGTATGCTCATTTGGTACCCATTGTAGAGTCTGACAGTGGCTAGACTTATCAGTTGGAAGGGGGAAAAGTCCTAAAGCTCTCTTCAAATTAGTCCATTTTCAAAAGTTGAAATGACTTCTCATCTGCATTATTCTAGACCTAATTGTGAATGCCATTTTCTACAGATTGACAAAGAATTGGCTAGTGGTGAATATTTTTTGAAGGCAAGTCAGAAGAAACGACAGAAGATGGAAGCTATAAAGGTAAGACTGTTTATGTCTGGTTCACATCATTAGCAAAGTTCCTAACTGAGTTCATAACTTAGTTTTGTTTTACTAATGTAAGCTTTATTAATGCTTTAGGCTAAACAAGCAGAAGCGCTCAGTAAGAGACAAGAGGAAAGAAACAAAGCTTTTATTCCACCTAAAGAAAAACCAGTTGTGAAACCTAAGGAAGGTAATGATTTTTTTCAACTGAATTTGTCTAAATGTCGTTGACTATCAAGTACGAAGTAACTATATTCTCCATCAATTCTCTAAGCATTTCATTAATCCTAGGACCACCCAGTGGCTCCAGTAATTTAAAGCTTCACAGTGGTTACTGCCTGTTTCGGGGGGCCCCCAGTTGGTAGTGGTGTCTGGCCTGGGGAAGGACTCTTTGTTTTGATACAAAGCAAAGCAAAGTAGGGCATCATTTTTAGTTTCATTTTAATTGATTTTTTTTTCAATTTAATAATTTGGCAATAAGGAGTACTCAAGGGGGAATGTGCACCCAGCACCAGGATTGTATCAGTCCTATTGGTCAAAAAGAGAGATTGTACATTGTCTTCATGTTGCCAGCAGCATTGACTGTGTAAGATTAGCACACTCTGAGTGACGCTGCTGCTCATGGGCCTGGAGGCCCTGCTGCCCCTCACGACTCTAGGACACATTAGAAGTGGCCCTGTGTGTCCGCCGCCTGTAACTATTTATGAGAGTAGAATGCCCATTTTTCTTCCAGTGTGTAAGGGATACACTATATAAAAAACTTAAATGTCAAGCATTTTCATTTCTGTCTCATGTATTATGTCTGTTCGGTATTTTGAAGCTATCTATGTACCTCTTTCACCACAGTGGGAAAAATCTCTGCTTCTCACCTTGCTACATAATTTGTATGAATCTTGTATTCCCTGGGCTTCTTGTGCTCTGAATGTCATACTTTAAATTGCAAGAAAAAGTTGCATTGTTCTGTGCTTCCTTTCCCTTTTTTATTCACATTTTTTGGCTTTGATTATTATGGTTGCTTATATAGGATGGCCTTCATAAACTTATCTAAGTAATTGTTATTACTACCAACATTTTGCTAACATATTTAGTCATTCATGGATCTATTTTTAAAAAAATGAAAACTTACAGTTTTAATTCTTTGGTTTGGTATTAGATAAGCCAGGTTAATCATTAGCTAATTAAATATATTGAGACTTGAAGGGTTGTTAAATGCAATATTCTTCATGAGATGCAGTCTTATTATTTTTACATGTGGTAGAGAATTGGCATTTTCAGGCATATTCTGAAGTCACAAATGGGTTTGAAAATGAATAAAAAGTAGAAGTAATATAACAAGCAACTATAAGGAAAAGTATGTTAAATAAGCTGAATTCAGTAATTGGTTTGATTTTTCTAAACTATCAAGTTATTTTCATGCATACTTTTACTACTGTATAGTTACAGTGCTAAGAGTTAAATCCCAGAGACCCACCAGGGCAGTTCTTCTCCATCCTGCAGGATCGCTATGAGTCAGAATCAACTCGATGGTTCTGAGTTGAGTTAGAGTGCTTTGCTTTCCAATATATTGTTATCCTAGTCCAAGTACCGTTTAAAGTGGTAGTTCAAAAGGTCCTGCCTTTGCGCAGGTATTTCATATAAACTTTAGTTACAACAGTACTCTGAAATGATTATCCTAACTTCATAGTATCTGTGCTTTGCTTGGTGAAATCCACAGAGTTGTGTATGTTTTGTTTTTGGTTTGTGTAGCTTCTACAGAAACTAAAATTGATGTGGCTGCCATCAAGGAAAAGGTTCAGAAAGCCAAGAATAAGAAACTGGGAGCCCTGACAGCTGAGGAACTCCGACTTAAGATGGAAGCAAAGGAAAAGACAAAGACAAAGACAAAGTGACATCCAATGAAAGCCTGGACTAGAAGTTATTAAGCTGTCTCCTTTTGTAAAGGATTTTGAGGTGTGCTAGGCATTAGTTGCCTTATCTTTAAGAAATACTTTGATCTTTTTTTTTTTTTTCTTGAGCTTTTGTTTCCTGAAAAGTTCTCTATAAATTATTCATGTGGTTTTTGCAAAATTTTGTACTAGAAACCAGTATATCTGTCGTCTATGTTGGATCGAAGCATAATTTTAGAAGCCATTTTTTAGGTTTCATACAGAATGTTTTAAAAATGAACTATTGTTTAGACATTGTAATTATCAATAAAATCCGATGACTAGTACCACTGGTTAGAATGTAAATGTAATCGTGTCCCAGCATTTGATTTTGTGGAAAATAAATACAACTTTCCAATGCTCTCTCCCAATTCCCTAACTACTATTCTACCCTAAGTATGGGGTGAGGTAAAGCAGCGATAGCAAATTACAGTAGAGTTGTAGAGGGGGGGGGGGA